TTCAGTATGGCGTACCTTTTGCTTCTGAAGAGAAAGGGGGATATAAAATAAAAAAACAACTGCAGCCTTGCAATTAGCTATGCTAGTGTAGACTGATCGGGGTTGCAAAAGAAACCATATGGCTCATTGATAACTCTGTAGATGATCTTTAATTCATTTACTTGAGCTGACCCCTGTCACATTGATTTTAATACACAAACACACACCGAGATGTTTTGGCAACCAAGTGAGAAACTGCAAGGAAAGGAAATTGGTATTTAGTGTGTGTGTTTTATATGTGTGTGTGTGTGTGTGTAATTAGTGTCACAACCCCTGGTATGCCCAAATATATATATATATNCCCCATTTTTGTGAAAAACTTTTTTTAATTTGCTTCTTCAAAATCTTGGTACATCTTATACTCTGAAAAATATGGTAGTGTCTCCCAGTTTTAAGCTTGATGCCTTAACCAGTACACCAAATGGCTCTCTCTTAAGTTTATGTTGTGTTTAATAAAGCGATTTAGTACATTTTGAATTATCATTGATCTCTTGATCGAAAGATAAAATTCTTTCCATGAACACCCCTGTTGTAACAGATCGTTTCTGCCATAAACATTACTACTCAAGGTTGCAACCCAAAGGGCATTACCGGTACTAACTTGTAAATCCAAAACACTAAGATAAAGACAGTAGTTACTGAAGACACATAGCTTTTTAATCTGATTGAACTCCTAAAATCACTCATGAGGGATATATATATATATAAAACCATGCTATTTAATTTTTATGTTGTAGATAAAATTTATTGTATTCTTTCTAGAGTCTGATAACTAGTTATTGATGGTGACATTGGTTGCTTTAATATATTCCTTCTGGGCTTTCACATTTTGGCAGCAAATTTCTACATTCATGTTATTTTTCCAAATCTAACTTAAATATTACCTATACCCATAAAGCCTATCCTACAACGGTTCAATTCTTAAATAATACCATAAATCATTATTAACTAAAAATCCACTTAAAACTTCCCATTACCTTGAAAACTGAAATTCCTCCATATACTATAAGTGCAGCAAACAGTGATTGAATTCATTATTTCAAATCAAGCTATTAATCTGCTTTTAAATCAATACTATATTTACAATGTCCAGTATGTTTCAGACGTTCGTGTAACAGAGCCTATATTTTAGGCTATATTTTAGAAAAAGGGCTACCACAATTACCGGTATGTATCTACGTACATTTAACGGTTGGAGTTACAATGCATTTTACCTGGACAATACTGGATAGGGTTTCCTCATCTGGACTCCATTGGGCATTACATTTTCAGATCATTTAACCCATTTGTATGTTGATGTAGATACTTTTTAGAATGCCTTCTCATGATATATATTCCATTCTAGCACCGAAGTGCAAAAACAAACATATAGCCAAACTTTGTCCTCAAATCATTGTTTATACATTCGTAGATGCTCTGACCTTGCACTGAATTCTTTCAGCTTTTTTTAGTGTTGGCCATGTAAAATACAATGAAATTGATACTAATTGTTAAGTAATTAGGATATAATCATGTTCCATAGTAAGTGAATTATTTTTACTCACAGCTTTGTAACCTTGTTAGCTTATACACCATACGTGAATTTGTGATTAGTCTCCAATTCAGTTATTCTATTTGTTTTTATAACAACAGTCTCTATTTCTTTAGCAAAACAAGACGAAGGTCTCCTGTAATCCAAATCATGGTTTCAGCTAGAAAAGATTTCATCCACAAGTTAATTTAATTTAGGAAGTTGTGTCAAATAATTACTGGCAATGGTTTCGGCTTACATAAATTTGTAAAGGATGTTCCTATAATCATTGGTATATTTGAAGTCATTTTTATTTAGTGAAATGCCCCCAAAAATTGAAATTATAAGTCTAGGCTATTATTTTAGCCATACTTAGATATATCACCATTAAGTATTTGAAACATAATTCACTTTATGGATTAACACCTTACAGTTAATAAACCATAGAAATAAACCACATTGGGTTACAGCTTTAGGCTTCACATCACAGGACAAAGAAGGACTACTTGCAGTTCCAAGGTTGCCAACAATCCCTTGTTTTATACTCCCCCCACCACCCCTTCTGAGCAGTACTGCTAATATTGGCATAAATCTCATATTTGGGAAACTGTAAAGCAAGTTGTATGAATGACTAAAAAAAAGACCTTTCCAAAAGAAGAGAAAGAAACTCTTAACCTCTAAAACATGTTGAGAGGTATTCCTAGCTGCTAAAAGATAACACAGCCCTCTGTCCTAGAAGCCCTATGCCTGATAGGTGGCATGCCTCTTTGGCCATTGTTTTGCAGATTGCAGAGAGCTGCTGAACATTGGGCAACTATGCAGCATTTGGAAAATACCCTGTGCACTAAAGATAGCTCTACAAAGTTAATTGTTTGACTATTACTTTTAAAATGCATTTCTGTGCTGTGTTAAACTTCTCTATATCCATATATTTCAAATAGTTTGTATTTGCCTTGATTTTTTTTTATGAGCCTTCCACAGAAGATTGGAAACTGCCTTGAATGCCATTCTGTAATATTTTCTTTTGTAAACAATTAGAATGGAATGTAAACTTTCATTCCAACAGTAAATTTGAACTTTCTTCATTGTCAGCATAGGGTCTAGAAATGAGTTCATCACTGACGTTTTCTGAAATCTTGTATGTATAAATCTGTGTGTGTGCTGCTATTCAGTTCTAAAAGGCATTAGTACACTAGAAGATGCAAAGTAACAATAATTGTCTGCTGAGATCACCACCAGTATCAACTTAGTACCTTAAAACAAATATCTTAAGTGGGTATTTCCCAACAGGCTCTATATGGATGTCCCTAAGTTATACCAAATATATACCAGGTTTGTGTTTCAGAAATTAACACACAAAATACTTTTTACATCATTGGTTTGTTCTTGTTCTGGTTTACAGCAGTATTTTTATTCCTCACTTGAGAATTACATTATCAACTTAAATCCAGAGCCATCATTGAAAAAAATCTTATTTCTTAAATATACATTTTGTAAACAATTAAGTTCAGTCATTTTATGAATTCATTATGGTTGCCAAAATCCATCTCCTATTTTTTGTACCATTGAAAGCCTTAAAAAAAAACTATGCATGCCATTTTATATTTGTATCAATACTTAAGCTTATGCTTGTTGGTTTCTTTTGTATAAAAGCAATTGACTTTTTGACAGTATTTTGCACTTTCTCCGCTTTCCTTTGGTTTTTATAATTTTTTCTTCAGCATATAATTGCAATATGTTTTTTACATCTTACACTGCCTCTTTGTAAATATTTGCAATGTAAGAAAATTTTGATTCAAGCTTTGTTTTGTAAAAGATTATGCTTAACCTTCTTATTATGCAATAAAAAATTTTCAACTTTCTAAGAATCAGTGTATTGATTTGAAAACATTGGCTGTGACTATTTTGTATCTTTGCTGTTCAGTGGTAGCCTAGAGTTGGAGCGCTCGCCTCACAATCAGGAGGCTGTGNTCTAGGTGATAGGAATAGCACTGGGAAAGAACTGTGCTACTTAAAATAATCCTAGAAAATTTGTATTGGAGTGAATTTTGAAATCAGTTACTCCAACCCCTTTTCCAGGAGTAGCTAATACAGGAGTTCCCTAATATAGTTTCATTGTTGAACAGCTCTTATCATTAGGATATTTTTCTGATGTCCAATCAAAATCTGCATTATCCATTCAGCTCACTGTTTTTTGCCTTCTAGAGAACAGCAAACAAGTTTAATACAACTTCAGTATTTTTTCAACTAGTTAAAGACAACTATCTCATATCTCTGTTGTAAAACACGGTCAAATTTAGGTAGAATAACAACTTTTGAAATTTATCAGGGAAACAAAGGAACATCAGTGGCAAATGAATGCAAAAATACAAATAATGAAACTGGTTAAGAACCACTTTTCATAAAGAACAAACTTTGCACAAGGAAACTTCCCTCTTCATAATAAGACCTGTAATCCCAATTATGCCTCTCAATGTTTTCTTTAAAACTTTCAAAGCAAATATTAAGGGTAGCTAAGGGCTGCAGAGGGTGCTGTCCTGCTTCTGTCAATGAAAGACGTTCTATCAAGAAAATAAATAAATGGGGATGTTGAGTTTTATATTTGCATTTTGATCATGCTAGAATATAAGTATTTTAAAGCATCTTTATGTATTCAATTTTATTGGGTTGTATAGCACTCTGTGCAAGTGCTGTCAGCACATCTTAGCTTTTGCAATTCTTTGGCAAAGAGGGTCCAGGAGGAAGAGTGGTATAAAAATGTTTATGCAGTCTTCTTCCTATGTTTGCCACACTAGTGGCTGCAAGGCAGTAAGACTGGAGTTCTAAATATATCTTGTTAAGCATCATTCTAATAAGTTGTATTTAGATGTCTTTTTTGACTTAATTGACACATTTTTTAAAAAAATCAGAATGGCCCTTCTGAGGCTATTGTTAATTATTGGATTTATATTAGTTGCAGAATATGAGTTGAACCATTTCTTTTCTTGCTATGACACAGGTAACTATCCTCTAGAACAAATATTTGCTAATGATCTGAATAACTCACTTTTCTTGTTCTTTTCTTTCATATGAAAACCCTTCCCTTGAATAAAGAAACATCTTATTTGTCTCTGATACAATTTAGAGCACAAGAGAAATGAAACTAAATGGCCCTCTAATCTATAGGGAAGGAGAAGAATATTGTCCAGTTTAATTTTAGGATGATACTTCCTAAGTTGGTATGCAAACCTGGACTTAGTTGTTCTTCTGTATTTATATTTATCCTACTGTGGTGATTCCCAGAAAAAAAGGAAAGCCATTAACTGATACAGCAATGAGATTTAATGATGCAGAATAAGAATTAAAAAGAGAGGTTTGAAGAAAGTGAATGCAACACTTGTATGACTCCTATGTTATTTTGTTTAGCTCTACAATGATAATATTGCTATGAATTTTCTCTACCTCTTTGCAGAAAGTAGATGTTCCAGTGATGCTTCAACATCTGAGGGAACAGAGAATGTTCATGATCCAAACTATCGCACAGTATAAATTTGTCTACCAAGTCCTCATCTTATTTCTACAAAATTCCAGGCTCATTTAACATCTTCAAAAGAGAGACAGCATCTTTTTCACTCACTTATTTAGACAGCCTTTTTGGTTTGGCTGAGAATCACCCTACTACAAAGCTTCTTGCTTTGCGGTATTTTGTGACACCTGATCAAAATTGCTTCAATGATAAGGACACTTTGTTCTTCTTGCAGATGATTTTATATGAGATAATTTATTTTTTTAAAATGATGTGTGAACTTTCTTAATTGGTGGAATGTGGGGTAACCTTAAAATGACAGAACCACATTGGACACATCTCTTCATTGTAATCTGTCTTTAGGATGGGAAATAATCCTATCTGGAGATGTTCTCTTGACCATTGCATTTCTATATGACATGCAAGGCAGCTTTGCTATTTTATTGTATTCTATTTTATTTTTGTGAAAAGAATATTTAGCAATCTGTTTTCAGAGCTGTGCACATAGAAGAAAAACCAGCTTAAAGTAGTATTTGACTTTTGTTCAAATTTAAAAGCAGATATATGTCTATAATATTATTGAAAAGGAACAAGCTTTTGCCATCAATGATACATGCAGTGCCTTACAGAATAGCAGTGGGATTTCCAATAAGCTCAAGATTTCAAGGGTTGAGTACTAAGCAAGTATGATTATACTGGTAGTACCTTGATGATGGATAGTAGCAATATTTAAAGCTATAAAATAGCTGGAATAGCTGGAAAGAGATCCATTCTAAGAAGTTTTTAAGGGTCTAAGCAAGATCTAATCAATCCTAAATCCTACAGTTGATGCTGTATCTTGAGTCTAGAAATTGCCCTGCAGGTGATGTGAAATACCCAGATCAGGGGCATATTTCAAGTCAGATTATTCCTTGAATCACACAGAGTAAATCTGAAGATTTTTTCTATTGGTTGCCATATATGCTGATAGTGGCAGAGTTCCCCTTTATGTGACCTCCTGTCTGTTCTCTCTCCTTCTAAGGGAGAGGTATATATTGAGCATGGTTGTGTAGCTCTTTTTAGAAATCTTACTAATATACAAACAGTTTTTAAGGTTAATTTTGGCTTAAACCAATAACTACCTGTAGCCTAGGACAGCAGGTATAAGGACATGAGAGTTCAAAGTGTTTTAAAAACATCGATTTAAATGAATAGGAAATTCTAACTGTTACTGATTTAGTATTGTTTGCAAAAGAGAATGTTCTAGTGGTTTGGGTATGTGCGGTAAGTGTCTTCAGGCTCTAAAAATCCCTGTACAGTTTGTGTCTGCAGGCTCTGTTGTGTGGCTGCAATGCATTACGTGGATTCACAAATAATTTGTAATCATCTCCACATAACATAATAATTATGTTAAAGTAGACTTTTTTATTGCCCCTAAAAAATCAGGTGACAGACAGATTGTCAACATAGACAAAATCTATGTTGTCGCTAGGAATTGACAGTGACTTGATGGTACATTATCATTGATCCATTTATCTCAGCAGTGTCCACTCTGATTTGCCATCGCTCTCCAAGGTCCTGATTCAAATTATTTCCCCCCCCCCTCCCACTGAACAATATGATTTGCACATCAAAACATCCATCTGACATTGAGTTATTATAATTAGTTTTAATATTGCTTTTATACATCATAATCCTGTGTTGCTTTTAAAAACACTTATGATTCTGTTCCCCCCCCCCATTTCTAAATTAGACAACAGTATTAAAGCTGATACGCTTCGATGGGTTACAGCCTTTTTTTTAAAGTAATCTTTATTAGTTATACATTTTTTTAAGAGTAAAACATACAAANTTGAATTTCATGCCTCCTAGCAACCAATCGGAAGTCATAAGACGAGAATCAGTCTTGTGATTCAACCAATCTTGTGATCCAATCCGTCTTGTAACTCAATCAGTCTTGTGATTGAATCACAAGGCAGACACACCACCCAGGCCCTATATAACAAACAAGATACTTTACCCCAAAACCTTGCTGAAGATGTTACCTAGTTGGTAACGAAATGTCTAGGAGCCAAGCAGCAAGCTCAGAGGGCGTACCTGCCTAAATCATTCAAGTTTCTTTCCAATTAAACATATACCATAGAATTACTCTGAATATACTTTTAGTGTTTAGTTTAACCGAACAGCTTTATATTTGAATTTTAAAAAAATACATTGCCTTTAATTGGAAGAAGCAAAATTAAGCTGAATAAAGTCCATCATGTGTAGCTTTCCCATGCAGTATCAAAACATTGAATACTGCTATTCATGTCAGAAAACAATATTTAAGATTTAACTTCTATATAAACAATCTGCATTGAATTCTATTCGGTATCTTTATGGCCAAATGAGCAGAAGGCACTTGGCAAATGTATGCTGCTTAAAATACACGTAGATGAGTATCAGCTAAATGTTTTTTTCAAAGACCACAAATACAGTAAAGGTATTTCCAGATGTGGAAACTATTCCTATTAAGGAACAGGAATAGATCATTGACAAGCCTCCATTTTTTCCATATTAAACCAGGCATGCTAAGTTATACAGCCATTCACGATGCTTAGAAAATATATGAAGTGTTCACAATCCCTAAATGTATTATTAACACAAACTTGAGTAAGCATAATAAGAATATAATTAGAGACAAAATATATGCAAGATCAACAATCAAGTTGCATATGTAATAGTCTTGAATTTTAACTTTTGAGATGCAAGGTGTGTAATTATATTTAAAAGTTACAAAAAATGGTACCCAGAATGTTTTTTATACACTGAAATCACAATAACGAGGCAAACAAGCAAGTCAGGTCAAGCAATGTTGTCCAAATTTAATTAGTCATTTTGCATAAGATACAATACATTAAACTCAATTGAGAAAAGAACTGGTCATTTTTGCACATGATCAATCAAAGGCATTAGCTGTGTGAAACCATGGCATTTTCTTAGGGAGGAAAAGGCATTCAGAATTAATTTATCAAGGCTCAAGATATTTCACATAGACCTCAGAGAATGGAAGAGGCAAGGCCCAAATGCACCACATGTTTGTCATTCCAATTATTTTACAGAAAAGCTTTCATTCCGCGTCAATTTTCAAAGCACTCCTGAAGTTTCCATAGCAAGGCTTTTAAAGAAAGGTTGAAGGATTACATAGATTCAAAGACTCAGTGGGTCTCTAATTCCTTTTTGATCTCTATAACGTATGGATGATCTTTCCCATGTGCTATCTCCATGATAGCGATTGCCTGCAAAAGGGGGGAAAAATACAATTGATTCAGACAGCCTTGGTTTATGAAATATGCTCGTCAGGGATTCCAAAGAGTCAGAAACCTCTGGCTGGTTTTTGTCCTCTTAAATGTACCCCATTGAAAACAGCCCATTTGATTGTAAGTATCAAACCGTATTCTATACACAGTACCTTTGATCCTGAGAGATCTCTGAGCTCTTTTGAAAGGCACAGAAAAGCAAAAAGTTAAATGACATTATATCGGCTTTTCTGTTCCAAACTTGAGAGGACTTTTGCCTAGGGCTGTTCGAGCCACATTTGGTCCTGATTATATTTAAAAAAAAACTGTATTACAAGATGGAGTTTGGGTAGTCAAGAAGAATGGGTCGTGCTCCCTCTGTAACCTGTGACCATATAAGTACCGTAATCTTGGCCTTAGCCCGTGCTAAGACCTTGTAATCATTTGGGCCACAATTAGCAGGGAAGTACTTGTACTTATAAATTGTGACAATTTCGTTAAATATTTCATCAGATTTAAGGTAATACTTTATTTTTATTCATTTATTCATTTTCTCTTTATTCTTTATAAAAAATACGAAGCAATAAACATAAAAGGGATTAATGATCCACCTTGATTATTCCCAGTTACGTTCAGTTAACAGCCCCACCAAAAGTGAATAGGATTAAATTAAAGTTATTATTATATATGTAGATTGTCGTCTACATGGGGCTGCCCTTGAAGACCATCTAGAGCAGGGCTGCTCTGTGAGCCAGATCTAAGCACTCCACGGGTGCTTGAGTTTGACACCCCTGATCTAGAGGCTTCAATTGGTCCAGAATGCAGCAGTGCAGGCAGTGATGGGACTGCCTCGGTACGGCCTTATAAAGCCTCAGCTTCACAAGCTGCACTGGTTGCCAGTTTGCTTCCAGGTGCAATTCAAGGTATGGTTGCTACCTATAAAGCCCTAAAAGGCATAGGGACTAGTTGTCTCCTGTAAGATCAAACAATCTGGCAGGATTGGCGCACTCCAAATTCCTTTGATTAAAACAATGCTATGTATTGGGACCCCAGAAGTCATTTTGTCTGTAGAAGTGCTTTGCCGTCTGGAATGAGTTTCCCTCAGATATTCAAATGACCTCCATTTTTCAAAGGCCTCTCAAGTTGTAGCTTCTTACACAGGCCTTTGGCAAGTGTGATTGAAACACCTTTTTTTCCTTCTTTTTCTTTTTTTCCATCTGGGTTTGTTATTTCTGTCATCTTTATTCTTTTGCTGTTGTTATTATTTCCTTGTTTGTAAATGTTTTTAACAATTGCTAGCCTGTNTGTGTAAAAATAACAATGTCCTGTGTATGGAGGGAGGAAAGGTTGGAGAGACTTATTTGTTACATGTTCCCATGCCTTCTCTAGACAACTAGCATAAGAAAAACATCCAACAATTTACTGGGTTTCAGCAAAGTAATAAATAACCACTTCAAAGAATAGCAGTCAGTCACATTCAAGAAGATGCTTTATTTTTAACATATATACAAGCATACACAAATTACAAAATGAAAAGGCATATTGATTCATATACTATATTCGAAGATGAATTAGTATGCTGTTTTTAATCATTTTAAGAGCTTAAAAATGGTGAGGGAATAAGTTAGCATTTTCCAAATGAGTAGGGGAAGGCACTATGGAAATGATACCACAGAATAACTATACAGGTATCTGCAGACGCAGCTGGTAGAGCAGGAAGATGCATAGCTTTCAAGAGAGAGAAAGAAGAATTAGTAAGTGACAAGAATTATCTTGTTTCAGATCCAGGAAGATAGGACTTTCACACTTTGATTCATCAAAAATACTAACACACTATTGGCACTAGGTACTTTCCACTCTTCTGATCTCATAATTTTTTAAGAAGGAAAATGTTCCAAATTATTTAGGCACTTTTAGACATGTAGAAATAATATCAATTATGTCCTTTGTGGGTCTTAATCCATTATTTAAAAGATACAGTCCTTGAGTCAGGCTTGATTTCTTGTTACTGACAAGGTTTCTAGCAACAGCACATAAATTCTTCTTTTAGATGCAAAGTGTTCCAAAACAACTTTTTGGACTTTCCAGTGTGGTTTTCGGTCTTGGGACTTTCTAGTCATCTCCCATGTAAAAATAATCTGGGTCTGAACCTGCTTAACTCTTTGAAGCTTAGGGTCAATTAAGGTCCCCTGATAATTTCTGTCATTCAAAAAGCCTCTGTAACTCTAGGCAATCAGCAAAACAAGTTCCATTTGAGACTAGATTGTTCATTGTCTTGGCAGCTTTAGTTTCAATGCTGTCCATCCCACTTGCTGCAATGAGGTTTGAGAAATGCTTTGCATCTGTTATTGAAACATAATGTTACCCAACAATCAGCATTTGTTTAAAAGGTGCTGTAAGAAAGCATCAAGTATGAAGAAATGGCCCATCTGTTTGGAAATTACAATTTGTTCAAGTCCGGAGACAGAAGAGAATATTTGTAGCTCGGGTTGTAGATTTAAGCAAGTTTGTCCCCCTGAGCTTGCTGCTTGCCTCCCAGATGTTTCATTACCAAACTAGGTAACATCTTCAGCGGGATACAAATATCAAAGACTGAACACGGAAGGAAGATGGTACCAACATAATATACAGAATCAGTTGCAGCTATTATAACCAGTTCTACTCGGGCAGACAGGACAACAGTTAAAAACCAGAATCCATGAACAACAGCTGGCTGTCAAACAGCATGACTCAAAGTCCCTGATTGGCAGTCAAACCAATAACAAACTTTCAACTGGGACGAAGCCAAAGTCATCAGCCACACCAAAACCTGTCAGGCTTGTGAGTTTATCAAAGCCTGGCATTCTGCCAATGGGTCCATCAACAAACACATTGACATAGAACCAGTGT